CCTGAGTTGTTGAAAGGGTTATGTTTAGAGCCATTCATTTCTCCCCAGTCTTCCACCCTTTACATCATTTGTTTTATGCTCTGCGCTGACCCCACTGCTGTAAAGACCACTTTTGCAATACAGTGGTGGAGCAGTAAATATCCTTTCTGGTAATGAAGCAGGCTGGGAGGGACTCCTCCACTCCCTGTAACAAGCTAAAATAGAATCACCATGGGGATAAAATACAAGAGTAGGAGCTTTGACTAAATGGCAGCTTTTGTCACCTTTTCTCTGAGTATTTGAAAAATGGAGGCCGTGAATCCAGCTCAGAAACACTCACGTAGGAACATCAAAGTCTGAAAAAGATAGAAAAATTACTGAGCATTTTGCTAAACCTTGGAGTTTTCTGGTGGCTGGGGGCAAGAAAACTGTGTTTACTACAACTAACAAGTTTGTTTAGAATGAAATAAAAATCAGTGGTAAACTACTCAGGATTTGGCTGCTTGTCCCTTCCCAGCCCTCGTCTCGCTCTGCTGCCTCAACTAGCGTGACTTAGCCACACCACCATAAATAAGAAGTATTTACGGTCCAGGGCTACAAACACTGTGCTTTTTTTTTTTAAAGAAAATTCTAATATTTTAAATGCCTTCTGCTTGAACTCTATTGGAAGTTTGGAAATGTCTTGAGATCCCTGAAGTCTGATTTCCTTTCTTCCCACAGAAAACCTTCACTTTTTTCTGGGTCATTTACATGGAAGCGCCTGGGGCAGACTGATTCATTTTGAATTTATCATTTTGCTTTGTTGCAGTGTGAAATTTATACTAAGATATTAAATGTAATAATCATATGTTTACTGGAAATACGTAAATATAAAACTAAAATACTGTTTTAAAATAGAACTTGAGCAAAACAAATTGGAAAAGTAAAATGCCAAATCCCAACAAAGCACGTCTGCACTGTTGAAACTAAAACGTCATTTTTCTTGGCTTTTCCCATCTGATCTACATTCCTGTGAAATGTTATGCATATAGTGACAGAGAAAGAATCTGCATTTATATAGTTTATGCCATCAGACTTGCTTGCCTTATGACAAATGAGAAGTTACCACCTCTCCCAGCTGTAATACTGCCCATATTAGTATGTGCTCGCTTTTTAGTACTTTTAGTACTTATTCTTCAACTGGGCTTTGCTCTTTCCTGGCCCATCCCAAGGCTGGCAGAGTTGACCGTCCAAAGAATGAAGGGATCCAGCAGAGTGGTATCGTAGCATTGAGATTTTACAAACCAGGAAAAGATTGTTAGAAAAAAACAGGGAGGATCCGAAGGAGAACGCAGCACAATGAACAAACCATGGCTAAATTTGGGGCATCGTGCAGAGCTTTGAGGCACCAACCACCAAAGGAAAACCTCTCTCTTGCCTGGGTGCAGAGGATGATGCTTCCCCAATCAATCAGGTCATGCTGGAGAGGACAAGCTGCATCTCCTTACCTTGTGCTGGAGTCTTCTGCTGGACCTGATGGCCTTTGGAAAGCCATTTATTTTAATTCAATCCCATTCACCTGCAGGCAGATGCCTTGGCTGTAGTTGAGCTGTGTCGGTCGTTAGGGCAGCGCAAAGGCTCTCCAGCCCTGCTAAGCACTTACAATATTATTATTTTCCAGCTGAAGTCTCCCAGCAGTTTAAGCACTCCGATGGTGAGCTTCACGCTGCCATGTCGTTAAACTTGTCTCATCTGTGCGGTGACATCCAGACACTGCAGACAAGGTTCGTGCAGCCAAGCTCATCCACCCGAGCCGACCGACAGCGGGCATCAGCAACCACGGTCTCACCCCAGCGATGACAAGATGGCCCCAGCAGCTCCAGCCCCTCTGCCCACCCACAGGTGGGAGCACGGAGGCTGAGGTCATTGGCAAAGTGCCTTTACCCATAGTTCTGGTGGAGGAGAGCAGATCATCCCATCATGTATTGGATGTATTTCTCAAAAAAATTATATTTCTCATCTCCATCCAGAAAACAGTCCTGATGGTCATAATCTGAGCAGAGATGTGGAGAGCAAGGGACTGGGGCACAAACCCAGGTCAGAAAAACTCGTATGGATGCAGGCATTGTCTTTCGCTATTACGTTCTTTGCCTCGATACAAAGCATCTACATGCCTTTTCTGCTCCATCTGCTCTCAGATAATAATACGAGACCGTTGTTTGTGTAAAAACCTCTCTGGCTATACACAACAATTTCCCATCAATCTGAAGCATTTGATTTCATCAGGAGCAAGGTGGGACCAGGATCTTCTGCTGACCATCCAGCAGTGGAAGGAAAAAGGGGATCTGGTATTTAAAACAAGCACTTTTTTAGTAAGGAGACATGGACGTGAATGTGTTGGAGGGAGAGGTAGACCTTCCTTGTGCCAGGACATGCGAAGCCTACAGCAGTGGCTCCGCAGAACGGCACGGCTGCTCTGGGGCCAGCGTGAGCCGTTAATGGTTTGTCTGTTTACGTTGCAAGCAGGCTCGGGAAGAGCTTTAAATGCATATTTTCCTCTTGAAATATTGAATCCAGTGTTTTCATTTTCAGAGGCCTGGGGAAAAATTGTGTTTCATATTTTAAAAATAAACACGGCTTTTACAGAGGTATAAATGCAGACCTATAGTATCCAGCACACCTTTGCCGCTCGCCTTATTTTCAAAGCTTTAATGTTGCTTGTGTGCCACAACCTCCACTAGTGAAAATATTCACCTGAAATGTATTTATCTTTCTTTGCTAATTAACAGCAAAATGACACAGAGAAACTTTGTATTTTCCTCAGCAAGAACAGCCATAGAGACTTCATTTACGGAGGGCTCTGAATGATCCCTATTCATGGTAAGCAAGTACTGTCTGCTCCAAGAGATCCTTGTACACACGGCAGAGCAACAGGAGAAACCCCATCGTAGACAGGGCTGGAGGTAAAATCTCCCAGATTTTGTGCTTTTATTTCATTTTGTTCCCTAATAGTCATAAATGTATGGGCGTAGCTGTTCTGTATATTTGGGGAGCAAACGTACCTGTGTGCATGTAAGGACACAAGGATATCGGTGAGTGGTATTTATACATATTAGCACTCATCTAAATCCATGCATACATAAACACATCCATGAAAAGCATGCATGGAGGAGAGTGATGTGTCTGCATGTGTGTGCACACATACGTACGTATATACATAAACACACATATGCAATTGTGTTTATAGGGATGCATGGTCACTTGTATACATTTATGCATCCTTTCACAGGCATAAGCACGTATACATGAAGTTTTTATACCGGGCTCTTCGCGCACGCACACGTATACGTGAAGGTCTGCATGTGTTTTCTGTACTACTCCATGATCACAATCTGCAATTTTCACATCCTATGTGGTAGCCCTTTCAATCCCAGGGGCTCTGAAATAACAAGGAAATAAAATAAGATGCCACGAAGCTTGGAAAAGGGCCTCAATGACAGAAAGAGGTGAAACAGGAGTAAAACCAAGCTCATCTGGAGCATTTACCCTCTGGCTAAAAATTGCCAGCTAGCTCCAGAGGTGGTGGAAAAACTGTGATTGATGGTGTGTACCTGGGAAGATAGCAGTGGGACAAATCCATGCTGATTTTACATGAGAACATAGCCATCTTTTAATATTTTAATTAACACTTTTAATGTTGAAAGAGTTAAGAATAGCCTGGCAACATCACTAAGGACAGGTCCTTTTTTTCCTTATCAAAAAGCCTTTCTCCACAGGAGCTCTCGGTCTCTGTTGAAGCACTTTTGGAGTAAAGAGTGACTCTGGATAAGAGAAGAGAAACTGGGTTTTGAATTAGAGGTAGTTTGCTGTGGCACTGCACTAATACAATGCAGATTAAATGGATGAGTGCTCCAAGGGTGTGCGGCTGGAAAGGTGAGCAAAGACTAATCCATCAGAGGAGAAAGGCTTTAATCAACTGACAATAGCGTAACACGGTAGTTAAAAAAAGGAAAATAGATGCATCGCTTTGTGATGAACCCATCATTAAATTCATCTTACTCTGGTACCAAATCTCCCTGCTGCTTTTCCATAAAGAAAACATTGGATTTCTGCTCACTTGCAGCAGCATCAGTCTTATTTGTTGATTTAGAGTATTGGCTTTTTGTGGCAAGAGCTGTAACTCCCTCGTGTGTGCAGACCTGAATGTTACGCTGTAAAAAATAAACCAAATTTCTAATCTGTTTGTCTATCCTGAGTTTCTTCTCTATTTATCTAGTTTAGGCTACTGACTTCTTTCTTTCCCTCCCTGCTCTCCTGCACCAGGGGCACAGCCTCATAGAGCGGTAACTGTTTCCTGCAGGAAGAAATTTGTTCTGCATCCTACGCTTTCGCCTCCCCAAGCCTTGCTCTCCTCTTCCTCTTCCCTCCTCCTGCAACTGAGCATTCGGCCACAAATTAAGCCAAGGAAGCAAAGCCCCCCGATCCCATGGGCCGGTTTCCAGCCCTGCACTTGGCAAACGTGAGGACTGAGAGATGATTTGTGTGACGCTATTCCCAACCCCCTCTCCCCACCACCATCAACCCCTCATTGGGCTTTGCCGGAGGAAGGACACAAGCCTGACACATCCCAGACCATTTGCTTACTGTGGCAAAGCTCAGGATTTGCAGACGGGAGCTGGTGATTGACAGGTTAACCCCAGTTCCCCAGGGCTGGTTTCACTGGTCCCACTGTTACGGTCCCAGATTCCCCACATACCACGCCGTTGCAGGTCTCTTTATAGCTTCCCATCTTCTTCACCCAGCAATGAAGCCATTGTGGAGGGGATGGGGGCCGGCAGAGCTGAACGTCCTCCCCCTCCCCACCTTCATACAATATTTTCTCCTAGTCCTCCTTGCGTGTCCCTCTCCCCTCGGTGCCCCCCCCAGCATTTCACACGTGTCAGGGGCTGGCCCCATGCCTCCCCGAGGAAGGGCAGGTTAATACCTCTGGGCCAAGGCTCCTGCTTGCCACTCTGCATCCAGCCTCCGGCTCCTCTGCGGCCATGGACAGGATTTTCTCTGCCTTGCTGCTCTCTTTGCTGCTTCTCCTCCAGAGCTATGGAGTTTACGGGGCACCCCCACAACCAAGAGGTAAGCGGGGAGCTCAGCAGCGGGATGCATGGTTACGGTCCTCTACCTCCTTGCCACCAGTCTGCTTTGGGACTGGGAAGGAGAAATATCCAACATCAGCCAAGAAAGCAAAGGAGCTTTCTCAAATATTTTCCCAAGGCAGCAAAGCCTGGAGATGTGTTTGCTTCTGGTCGTTACATTGCTTTAGAGAAATGGTGGGAGGTCTGTACAGAGGCACGGCAAAGGTGGCATCAGGTCAGCCCTAACCCCCAGCGTAGCAGCAGCCACGGGGTTCCCCGCTTTTGGCTGGAGGAGGCCCAGGCACGAGAAGGGCTCTCCTCTGCTTTCCAAAACTGCTTCTCCTCTCCGCAGCTCTGCACAGGGCTGGTTTTGCCAGGAGCTCGAGGAGGAGTTGGCCAGACACCCCAAGCTCTGGTTAACCTCACCGAGCAGGAAGGTCTGGGTCAGGTTGCAGAGGATGGGCCTTTCCTAAGTTTTACCTCATCCCTTCTTGAGCAAAACGCTGCTCTGTTTGTCTTTCCATGTGGGGTATAGAGCAGCCAGATGGGAGATGAGCTGCCTGCTCTTTAGGTCACACGGTCTCTAACTCCTCGTCTGCAATCAGTGTCAGCAAGTACTGACCACAAAGGGAAGGGCTGGAGGGTCTGGTAGGGAGGAAGGACCCCTCCTCTGCCAGGGGTGGGATGCTGCTGGGGGCTCCGGCCAACCTGGGGAACTCACCGCCGGAGAGGTGGCCAAGGCAAAAGTCACTGCTGGGTTTTAAAAATGTTTGACTGAGCTTATGACGATGCATAGTACATACACCTGGGTAGACTGGCAATTGTAAAACAGACATAACCGTGACTGCAGCGTTAGCTGTTGGTTATGAAGGGGAGTTTTCTGAGATACTGACCAGTTTCTCCTTAGCAATTTGGAAAGGGAGAGTTATCTTTCCTGCAGAACCACTATGGGCTACTGAAGTCAGGGAACTAAACAGAGCAGTCATTCAACTCAGCCCTACTGCGAGCGACTGCTATTTCTAAAATAAATATTTTTTAATTCTGAGTTACTAGGTAGGTTTCCTATTCTTTTAATGAATAGGGCAAACATGCCCTAAGAGATATTTTCTGCTAAATCAGCACATGAAGTTCAGCTATTCCTGAACGACTTCAAGTGTGGACATTTTTAAAAATAGAGGAGGATTTATTTCTGGTTTAATTCAACTTTAAAATAAACTATGCTGAGTCAAGATGTCAGTCAGAACAAGCATGCCTGTCACCTCCTGGGGATGACCAAGGCCTCTCCTCCAGACCCTGACGTGTGCACTGTGGCTGGGACCAGACAGGATGAAATTCCAAAGCTCCTGTCTGATATCTCTTCTTTTCTCGTCATTTCCCTGAAATATACTTCACTCTCTTAAAAAGAGGTTAAAAATGTTATTTAGGGCAAAATCACAAAGCTTCCATGAAAAAAAAAAAAACAACCCAGCCCTTCAAAACTCCTATTGGATCCAACTGTTCCTAGGGAAAAAAACCAAACCAAAACAAACATTTTTCTTCCTTTGTTTGTCACTAAAACCAGAGGTGAATTATTAGCCACAGTGGCAAAGGGGAATCTGCGCTTTATTTCTGGAGGAACTGATTGTACGTCTGTGAGCCTTTCTCTGTACCTTCATTTCTCACCTGTAAAATGGGCATAACCAACCCCTGGTAAAGGGATTTGCAATACTGTAGATGGACTGCCAACTGAGTTTCACCTTCCTCTGCAATGAATTATGGTGGCAAAGTGAAAGACACCCATGTGGGAAAAGGTTACATTGCTTTTTAGTGGAAACTAGAGCATCTGACAAAGTAACCACCGCCTGCTTCCCTTCGACATACAGCATCTTTTATAGAGACCTTTCTGGGAGCCAGAGGCAGATTCAGCATTAGTGTCTCTCAGGAAACTAACCTGATTATATTCTTTATGGATATATCACAGGGTATTTATTTTCATCTGTCTGAAAGACTGAAAGCTCCATTAGATTTCACACTGAGGACTAGCTATAATATTTATGTCATAATTTGGAACAGATTTGTTGGCCCAAAAGCTCACATTTAAAAATCTGTCTGCAGAAATCTCCTTTATGATACAACCTATATCGTCCCTCTCTGCGGAAATCAAATATTAACAGAGCACTTGATGCCCCTACAGAGACAGGCTAAATGGTAGAAAAAAAATTAAAAGAACAGAATGCTATAGATCTGGTGGGGAAAATGAGACAATTCATTTAGAAAATCATAAAAAATATCAGTCCTTTTTATGTTTTGTCACAGTTGAAAATTAAGATGGAAAACAGCACAAAAATGAGAAATTAAAAAAAGAATTCACTCAGCTTTTTGCATTGCTAATGCTTCCTGTTTATACCATTTACTTTCTACAGTGGATATTCATGTCTTCTTATGGGTTTGTAGAGATTAACTATCAATCACTTGGTTCTACATCTCTCTATTGTATTCTCCCTCCCCAGCTCACAGACATAAACCAGCGCTGGTCTTTGCTGTGCTACAGTATTTCATTATTAGTGCCACTAGCTGAAAAACATGAGACTGGCTCATGTTATGTTGGTTAATCTGAGTATCTTGATTCACAACTGAATCTGAACTGCTGAGTTTCACGCCTGCTTCTGGTCATGCATGACGAAGACATAATCTCATTAATTAATATCCATGTGGATTGCTTACTCACTTCCAAAATGCAATAACTCCTTTCAAGACTTTGGTGCAGAAGTTCTCGCACAGGCTTGTTCACAGCTTTATTCCCCACTCCGTGCTGCCGTAAGTGAATTAAGTTTCATGTAGACATTAGCAATAGCCTGGAGTGACAAGTGGTAACCTGCTCCCACAAGTGCAGCACTGGTATCTCATCAGCTCACTCCCTCAGAAGTACATGTTCTCAACTGGTAACTGTGCTTTTCTTGCAGATGCTTTCCTACGAAAGGTAAAAGAACATTTAGAAATATTAGGTTAAAGTGGTCTCACTGGGACTCTCTGAGACAGTAAGGATTGAAATTTGCAGGTCCTCTCCCCTCAGCTGTTGCTCTAAGAAGACCATTCTTTCCTTCCTAGGATACTTTTCTCTTCTTTTTCTTTTATTTTTGTCCTCCCTCCTTATCCTTTCCAGGCACCCTGTGTAGAACCAAACCCACCGACCTGGTGTTCATCATTGACAGCTCTCGAAGTGTGCGCCCACACGAGTTTGAGAAAGTCAAAGTCTTCATGTCCCGGGTGATCGAGGGGCTGGACGTGGGCCCCAACTCCACCCGGGTGGGCGTGATCAATTATGCCAGTGCCGTCAAGAACGAGTTCTCCCTCAAGACCTACCAAACCAAAGCCGGGCTCCTGCAAGCGGTCCAAAGGATAGAGCCGCTCTCCACTGGGACTATGACTGGCCTGGCTATCCAGTTTGCCATCAGCCGGGCTTTTAGTGACTCAGAAGGGGCCAGGGTGAGGTCTCCCAATTTTAATAAGGTAAGAAAATTATCTGTTTCTTGGAAGCTCCTTCTTTCTTGTGACTCATCATGGAGCGGTTGGAAAAATCAGAAAAGGAGGAAAGGTGATTTTCTCTGTGCTTTGATTGTACTGGGACAAGTGGGGATTAATTGTCAAAGGTGGTAAAACTCTGGGAGATGGAAACCTCCCAACTCTTCTTGCAAGCAAAGTTCAACTTTGTTTTGGACAGAGTTGGCCAGAAGTTGTCAGGGTAGATTTAACCCAGCCTGTATTGTCTGACCTTTGGGACACGGCTCGCTGCTTCCAGTATGCATGCAACAACAGACCACCGTGAGATGATGATCTCAGTCAGGTTTGCTAGGCATGAAGATACTAGGATTAACAACGCTCATCTTCCCCAAAATATTGTAATAAAGACCCTTCAGAATCCACCATAACAAAAAGTGAGGCAACCTTCTGAAAGTTTCCTTCGAAATGGTCCCTTTCAGCTGCAGATATAAAGCAAGGTGCTGTTCCAGTGTCCTCCACTGCTCTTCCAGCTTTTCAGAGGCTGGCTGATGGCTATGTTTTCCATTCTGGGTTTTCTTTTCAGGTACACACACTTTACTGACCATTTAGCATTTAAGGTTGAGGTATAAAGTCAGCTTAACTCTACACGTGGTTGCAATGGGCATCACTGCTCCTGACCCATATTCCCTGTCTGGGAAGCTCAGCCTTTAAAAAACATTGCCCAGATACCTTGTTCACCCCTTTGGATTTGACCGTGGATGAAAACAAACCTCAGCACAGTGACCATCACCAGGAAAACGCTCCTCTGAGCATGCAGAGAATGTATATTCTTGACAATATGTGCTTTAGCTCAACATCATGAACATGCTTCCTAGGCCCTTGTGTCCCATGCCAGCTCCACTGGCTCTCTGCTATGAGTCCGGACCAGAAAAATAAGCAAAGACATTAGCAAGCAGCTAGAGCTTTCCACCAGCTGGACACAAGCCCAACTGTTGGAGTGAGGAAGCCTGGGATTTTTGTCCTGATTACAACATTTTTGGAGCATCAGTCACTTTTCATTTCTCTCACTGCTAGTAATGCTCTAGGGAAGGCTGAGTCGAACATGGAAAAGTTGCCCAGGGATGGCAAGTCAAAAATAATACTGAAAAGTGAAAAATAGGCATTGGTAAATATCTGCCAACTCCAAAAATCAGCAACCTGAAGGTTCTGCTAGTCTGGAATTCCCAAGATACCCCTAAAAATGAGGCTGTCGCCTACCAGGATGATCTAAATAAATGTCTTGTGTGCCCCCTAACCATGTTGAACTATAAGCAACTGGCAAATATGAATGAATCCACCCTCATATGGTCTTCTACTGCCGGGTTCATGGTGAGGACAATTCTTTGAATTTTAGCCTAAATCTGGTTTGACACAATAGGAAGAAAACCAAGAGTAATAACAGGAAAAAAATACACTCCAAGAAACTTTCACTAAGTCTCACTGGCAATCAGCTCCAGAAAGAGAAGCTCATCTGTTGAGCCATCATGATCACATCATTACTCAAGCTTAGAAGCCACCTGGTGCAAAATCCAACCACCCAGCTCTCGCAGGGCAACTCTGAGACCTGATTGCAATGGTTTTTATTCAAAAGGAGTAACATTGGTTTTCTTCGTCAAACTCTTTGAGGTTCACTGAAAGTAATCATTGCAAAATTGCAAGGCATTATTAATATACTGTTATCATTATTTTCAGTAAAGAGCTTTAAAACCCTTTAGGTGCAAAACTAATTGTTCTCATTCATTTGACTAAACTACTTCAAAGAGATTAAGTGCGGATTCAGCCTTTAGCTCAAATCTGCTATTTTCTGGAGGCTCAAGCAACTGCCTGTTGCTGCCAAGGTGTGTTTTGCTTTTCCCCGCTTTCCCAGCAGCAGTAAGTCTGCTGTAGGGTCACAGAAGAGGCAGCAGCAATCCGTGCTGCCCACTCCCACCACTCTCAGAAAGGCTTTGGAAATTAAAATCTTGAGCTCTCATTTCTCCGAAGGCTCATGGCTGCCCAGTTTCCCCATGGTTGACTTCACTGAAGAGCTATTTTGGTTTTTTCATGGGAAAGAGATGTTTCCTGCAGCGAAACCGCTCCAGGGGAGCTGGTGGGAAGGCGATAGGTCTCCAGCAGAGCCCTCCTGCCATCTCCGCCTGGCCAGAGCACCCTTTGGTGGAAAAACGTGAGCAGAGTGGGAACCGCAGGTCTCTCCTAAGGAGGACCATCCATGGCCACACACAAACAGTGCCTTTTGGTCGAGAAGAAAAAAGTATTAGGAAATATTTGTTTTGGTTGGATACTGTTTAGCACAAAACCAGACAGCTGAACTGAAACACACAAAAAAAATATTATCTGGATGATACTATGTGTTTCTGCTTTTTAGAAATTTTTACTCTGATTGAAATGCAAAAACTGTTTAATAAGAAAGAAAACATAAAGAAGACCCAACAGTTTGAATGCCAGACCACAAAAACATTTCAGTTCTTGAGTATTGATAGGCACAAGAGACATTTACTTCTCCCTATTTCCAATACTCCCTTGCAAAAAGCTTATTTCTCATCTCACTCCATTAATTATTGTTCTAATATCCAGAAGTGCCAGAAGGTCCAAGCAGGAGAGAGGTTCAGATGTGCTTGTCCTGACTCCCACAGTGTCCGCAGCAGCTGCCCACTACGTAAGAGGACAGGCAGTAGCAATCAAGAAAGAGGTGGATGCTGCTCCTTTCCTTGGAGACGGTCAGCTCTGACTAGGGGAATGATTATAGCGTTCATTTCCACGTCTCATGTCATCAGACTTCCATTTAAAGCTGCTGAGCACCTTTATAGATGGATAAGGGTGCTCGAAGGGTGCCAGTCAGTGCACAAAGGTTTCTTTTTTCCAAAAGCAAGGCGTCATTGTGTGGCTGCACATTGTCATGTCAGTGATCCCACACTGACAACAACCCTGACACAGCTCCAGCAACACCCACAGCGTCCTCAAATCCCTGAGCTGGGCAGACATCCTCACCTAGGATGGGGGAAGTTAAGAAATAGGAAACCTGTGGCCAGTCCTTGCACCTAGAATGGGAGCTGGGTTATGAATGAAGGATCCTAAAGGAGGGGTCTGACTTCCAGTCTTGTTGCATGAAGGCAGCTCCCATGGACTTCACTGGTTTTCTTATCGCTTAACTTTCAAATGGAACAAATAATGGGATCTTTTTAGATACACTTTCCTCTAGGACCACTATGCAATCCATTCATGCCCCTCAGAAATCTCACCATATTTCTTTATATTCTCCTTTTTTTATCTAATTCCCCAATGTCTATTTTAAGACAAGGTGACCATGTTTAGGTCAGGACTGGGACACAGTCCTGATTTATACAATACTTTTATAATACTTTCAGTATTAGTCTCTACTTTTTTTCTTAATACAGCCTGACACCCTACACACAACATTGACTATAACTGTAGATTGAAGAGATATTTCCAGTGAGCTGTTTGTGAAAATGCCTGGATCTTTATCTAACTAATCTCTTCCACACCATTTAAGTAACCCCTTTCCTCGTGCACTATTTTCCTGCTCTTGTCTACTCCGCAGCTGGGCTGTCAGACAACTCACGCAACGTCCTCTTGGAATCCTTGTGGTTTCCTATCATCTCAATATGCATAAGAGCTGCTATGTCCTGCTAATACACCAAACAAGCCTTTAGTTTAAATATCTGAACACTTAAAAAAAAAAAAAGAAATTTATTTAGTGGTTTACTGCAGTAGCGTGGCTGAAGCATCAATGTTTGTGTGGGCAGTGGTACAAAAAACTCTGAAGTTGCTTTGTCTCCCTGAAACCTCATGCCCTGGACATCTGAAAAAGCAGAAGAATAGCAGTAGTCTTTTTAATGATTTATCTTAGGCATTAAAAAAAGAAGAAAATAAAACCACTACATGCGTTTCTCTCTTTCCTTCTATTTTGGAGCTGATCAAAGAGACAGAATCACAGAAAGGTTGAGGTTGGAAGGGACCTCTGGGGTCATATTGACCAGCCCCCGTGCTCAAGAGAGGCCACCCAGTGCTGGTTGCTCACGACCATGTCCAGATGGCTTTTGAATATGTCCAAGGTGGAAGACTCCACAACCACTTACATTCCTCGGTTCCCTGGTTATTTTTTGCTTTTTCCACAGTGCCTTGAAGTCCAGCAAACTTTTCCCTTCTGTGACCCTCACACTGCTCAGCGTGGACCCATCATCTGCCTGGGGGGATGAACAGGTCATGCAGTAATTTAGGGAGCTGAAGTTTCCAGAAACATTGGACACAGTCCTTACTCCTTCACACAGCAGAAATCCAGCAAGACCTTGTGATTGTGCTATGATTGCGCTATGATTGTCAACCATGTGAGACACTGGTCAAAACATCACAAGATCATTTGGTCTTGCTGTGCTCTGTGCGGCAAATGTCACCCCAGGAGAGGGAAAAGCACTATTTGTTTCTGTAGGAACTCAGAGTAAAGTCTGCTTATACCTTTATCAAAAACTACAGGGGTGCCCAATTACTTTTATCTTTCTTTAGGAAGAACAACAAATAGATTGTCAAATTGCTGAGAAAATCAAGGGCTTATTCAACTTTCTGCCCAATTCTCCTTTCACTGCTGCTAGAACATTCACGTTATACACTGCATAATGAGACATCGCTACCTCATCAGCTGCTGGATTGCCTACACATGGCAACCCTGAAATATGAATACCTAGGGATCTCGTGAATACTCTGGTGTCTTAGTTAACCAAGAATAAATTGTGTCATGAGAACATGGGGGATTTCTGTATGACAGATGTAACACAAGAAGGATCCAGAAAGTTAGGAATTCACAGGAAAATGAACGGCGGTGATTAAAATGAGTAAAAGTTTTGACCTTGAAAAGCAAAAGTTTCTGAGTTTCCTTAGGGTAAAACTGAAGATCCTGTTCAGCTATTTGAGACAGCAAAAGCATTCAACCTCTCTTAATTCTTCGCACACGGCTACCTGCTGAGTCCAGCATAAGCCCTTCGCTCCAGACCCGTGTCAGCCTCTCTAGGATGCAGCGGTTGCTCCTTTCCTCCAATCTGTCTCTTGCTCTTTACCAAACAAGGCACATACCAGGACTCTCAGCTTTTTAAAAGAGACAAGGTCACAACACAGAGAATCACAGAGATCCTGTGGCTGCAAATAATTTGGAGGTAGGTTTAGGAAAAAAAAGGTCATTGGTTTTTTTCACACTGGAACTCACTGTCTTAGGCTAGCAGTGAGGGCAAGTGTCTAGAGGAGGCATCCTAGGAAAAAAAACCACAGGATTTCCTGATTATTAAGATAACTACGTACGATAGCAAGATCACTTTTTACTTGTTCTATTTCTTACACTCTTTCTGTAAGCACCTGGTCCTGGTCATGGTCACAGATGGACTCCCTGGCTGGTTGGCGCTCGGTCTGACTCACTGTTACATTCATTTTAGCCATGGGTTCACTGATTAACTCCCGATGCCGGATCCAGACTCTTTGTACACAAAAGCTTTGTTTTCTCCAACAGCAGGTCAGAAAGCAACATGAATTTTGAGTGCTCTATAGCAGATTTTTCACACAGATGCATTACGATGATCATTCCCATCAGATCCAGATGTGGATGCTGCTACCAGACACCTCCTGGATCGTCTCTGGGGCTCAGGCCTATGTGAAGATGTCACCTCGACATGAAGAACGAAAGGAACTGATTAAACTTGGAGAATCACTTTATTTAGACAGAGAAATGCCAGGAGGACACGCAACACCTCCGTCCTGTGACAAACACCGCAAGAAAGATACGTGGCTGCTGACAGAAACCTGTTCATAAGGCGGTGTTGCTCGCAGAAGCTACTTGATAACACATCTTGTTTCCTGACAGGTTGGCTTTTGATAAGCTCTAATTGGCAGCCCCCATCTCAGAGCTGCTGGGTGTACGCAGAAAGCAGAGCTGTGTAGCTGGTTGCAGAGCAGCTGAGTGGAGGGCTCTCTCTCCTGGCAGAAACCACGACTGCATGGCTGACTCTGCTCCTCCGCTCGGCTGCTGGTCCAGAAACAACCCAAGTGCTCCTTTTGGTCCATCTTTGATTGGCACGTTCATTCCCCTTTACAACACACACTGACGTCTGCCACTGGTGACACTTTTCCTTATTTTGACCACAAGCAGAAGAGAAATACTTGAAGGTATTTATTTTTTTCTCCCTTGGAAGCAGCCAGTTACAGAATTGTGATGCTGCTAGGAATTTTTAATTTTGTAGCCCTTAGAAAGTGCAGATAAACACCTGAACTTACAGAGCAGCACCAAATTGAAAAGCTCTACATTTTCGCCCGTTCACCCATATTTTGCACAGAAGGAAAGCTCTGAACGGGGCAGCAGATTACTTTAATATTGCAGTATTACCCTGGGGCCGGTGACTGCAGCATTTGGCCATTCCTCAGATGAAAGGTGGGCAGAGGGGTAAGGAGTCACTTCATCTGCCAGAACCCCTTGGACATGTGGGGCAGGCAACCCCGCTCCTGACCTTAGCCGAGATGATTTTTTTCCATCCGAGGATGTAAAACAGCCATCACACTGTCCTAACTGAGCAGCTGGTGCGTCTGATTTTATCTTCAGAACGATGGAGACCATAGAGGAGAATTCCAAATACTGCCTTGATGACGAGGTGACCAGATGATGGCTCATTCAAACACATTGTTGATGCCAGATGATAGATTTTTTCCCTGTCTTTTTTGTTTGATGTTTCTTCACTTTCTATATTACTGAGGGTATCTGCCTGCGATGTGGAGCTTTTTCTGCTTAGCAGCTCACCTGTTCCTGCTGATTACATTTCTCCATACTGCATTACACCCCAATCAGTTGCTTTGGAGATGACAGTGGTGTCACAACAAAACAGTTGTAAGGAAAAGTGGCAGGAGCAGATGAACTGGCAAAGAACAAAGATTAAGGTTTTGTGACAATGATGTCAATTATCAGAAGAAACATAAAAAGGAAAATGGACAAAATAGCAACAGGAGCAGGACTCTTGAGGGCTTTCCACTGGTTCAGGGCTCCACCTAATCCAAGGTGAAATCCAGTTTGCACCTAAACCATCTGTCATTTTAATGATGATGTTAGTGGAGTAGGATTTCACCTCTACAGGGAATCAGAAATCATGGCAGGCAGTGACACACAGCAAATCTCTTCCTCTCTCTCTCCTTCAGTTTCTCCATCTATAAAATGGGGAGGTGTCTTCATCTCATGATGTTTCCATGACATTTCCTGAGATTCTTTAAAGTCCCATACTGAGTTAGAGTTGTCCTTACTGTCAGCTGGGAGTTCATGAAGATAGTTAGAGTTTGGCTTGAGCATTAGTTTGCATATGAAGAATGTAACCTTTACTCTGGTTTCCTTAGGGGTGAGATGCACCAGTTGTCCCTTAATTAAATCAGTCAGGTCCCTGGCAGTTTAACCTTTCCGTCTCAGAAAGGAACAAACCCCACATAAAAGAATGGCTTGTGTGATCTCAGGAAGAAGGGCAAGAGGGGGAGGTGGGGGTGGCGTTTCCTTTTTCTTTAATTTTAGAAATATGAAACCTTCTTTACTAACCCAGCCTGTTTCACAAGCAACAGTGATCTTAATGCCCATTCAAACATACACCTTGCCTCTGCCCTGCTCTGCGTAGGTGGCAATCGTTGTGACCGATGGACGTCCCCAGGATGGAGTGCAGGATGTGTCAGCAAGGGCCAGAGCAGCTGGCATCGAGATCTTTGCCATCGGGGTCGGCCGGGTGGACATGCACACGCTGCGGCAAATTGCTAGCGAGCCCCTGGATGACCACGTGGACTACGTGGAGAGCTACAGTGTTATAGAGAAACTGACCCACAAATTTCAAGAAGCTTTCTGCGGTAAGTTCTTGCTACAACCTCTGGGTTCCTAGCCAAGGGCTGCAAGTGGCTGCCAGCAAGCTTTTCACATGGAAATCGTATGTGTGGTCATCCCTCATCCATCTGCTTCCTTGTTCCAAGGACTTGGGTCTGCAGGAGCACGAAGCAGTATGGAAGACACATACTCTCTGAAGTTGCCTTTCAAGAATTTCAGGTTTTGTTTAGGAAATTTCAGGTTTTAGTTAAAGAAATCTCCAGAATTCATTGGCACAGAAGTTCGTAAACATGACCCACGTACTCCGTGAGGGGAAAAAGAACCTGGAAAACATGATCTTTATAGAGTTAAAATCATTGTCCTTATGTTTAAGCTAATCTGGGCAGTTCTGAGAATCTGGCTGGTAACTTCCCCCACCAGTATTGTCTTCTGAACTCCCAGTTAAGACAGGGATGGTTCCACTTCCCTGCTAGAGGCTGAACTGCCTGACTATGCCATCGTTTTTGCAAGTCTTGTGAGGCAAGAAACTCTCCTGGCTGGTGCAGTATCTAATGCCTTTCTGCACAGCATATAAAAAGAGCCTGACTATCCTACAAACACATATTCACTCCTACATGAACCAGTGAACGGAGTGAGAAAGCTTTATTACTTTCAAACGTACCCGCAAGACTGTAGGAAGTGGTCTATAAATATCCATTTTATGTGTCAGCAAGAGAGGCCTGGGGGTTTCGCACGCCCAGCCCGTCGAAGCACAGACGTGTGCCAACACTTTTTAAAAGGTGCGATACACCACGGAGCCTATGGCAAGGCATTGCAAACACATACACACAGATGGACCTGTAAAACTCTCCGAGACCAATTTCTTCAAGAGGTGTAAAATTTCATGATTCAACTTTCAGGCTGAAAATGATGGGGGTGAGCAGCTTTTTGTCAAGGAAAATTTCCTCCTCTGTAAGAAGGAGAAAAATTTTGAATATAAAGTGAGTCATGTATTATAATCAGGTGTCACTGCACCAGAAGCTCATGAAAGATGGGAACAAATACTTCATACTAAAGGGGGGATAGAGACAAAATTTGAGAGGGTAGAATCCAGGTCATGAATATTTGTGGGAGTTTGTGTTGGCTGCCCTGGAGTCAGGAGTCAACCAGAGACATGGAGGCCTGACAATGTGGTTTGAAGTTCTGGCATTGGTATCATTCAAAAAGATAAAGAGAAAAGAAATCCTTTCTGTGCCTTGCTTTTCAAATTCGTAACATGCAGATGACAAAGTCTCCCCATGGTAGAAACCCTCGGAGATGCATCCAAGGGAAGGGCTGTGCTAAGGATTATTACAGCTAACAGCGAACAGCACCATATTAACTGCCAAGTGGGCTGTTATCGTGCTATGCAAGCAGCTGCACAAAACCGTCCTTGGAGATGTACCCAAACACCACCTGCTATCCTGAAGCACGGTTAGTGGGTACTGACAGCAGAAAGAACAGTGCAGCACTACCCAAGCTGTTTTCCCACAATGCTCAACAAACACACGGGAGAAATGGAGACCGTTGGTGATCCAGCCACTACGTAGACTAATAAGTTCTCTGTAGGCTTCAGCGAACTCAACCTGAGAGCCCAATGTTATAGCCAGCTGCATGGTTAGCAATATTCCTAACGATACGAGCTACGTATATGCTGGAAAGATCTACCAGTGCTGGCACAATAGGCAGATGCGTGAATTGGGAAGGCCAGAAGAAGTACAAACCACATGCAGAGCAGAACACAAATGACCTGAAATAACAAACAGAAGCCCCTTAACTTTGAAAGACTTTGTGCCACTTCCCATTGGTTTGATAGAACCCAATGCTCAGTTTTCTGCGTAGATTCCCCTGGTGTTTGTAAATGAATTTGCTTCAACCAGATCTGTTGACTTTTGAGTTTGTTTTCCATCATCATTGCTGTAGCTGTGACAGTGTTGTCAGTCACGGACCGCTGCTGGCTCAGGCTTCTGCAATTCAGCTTCTGTTTGCTCAGCATCTCGGGAGTCAGATCCAGGTTAAGATCAGCAGGCAGAAATGTTTGTCGAGAGCAAATCTGAAAGCTGCATGTGCGAGGGTAGCTCTGAAGTGAATTCCAAGTATGTTTGCACATGAATCCCATCCAGGAAAGACAACTGTACATGGGGCTGAACTCCCTAATCATAATTGCATTACATAGCTGGAAAAAATGGGTCTTGGCCAGCCCAGATGGTAGGTTGGAAACCAAATCTCATCCAGTAGCTTTGGAGAGTGAAGTATATTCTGATATGCTCAACAGACAGATGGGTTTTGCCCTCAGTGTGGAGACTATTTCTAGTCCTGGCTGTGCTTTGACATCAGGAGACTTGTGAAAATTTCTCCTTGCCTCTTGTATCTCAGTCACTCTCCAAGAGTAACGGTCTCTGCTGCTTTGTCTTGCTGCAGAGCAGATTTAGTTATCACTGAGTGTACAGGACAAACATCATAGAACATCACAGAAATATCATGCTTTGTGCATGGGCTGAGTAGGGTCTGGGTTGAGAAGCCTTGGCATGGTCTCTGATTTTAATCTGTACCTTCACTTACAGTGGTGTCAGACCTGTGTGCCACTGGAGACCACGACTGTGAGCAGGTCTGTATCAGCACCCCGGGAGCATACAAGTGTGCTTGCAAAGAGGGTTTCACACTGAACAGTGATGGGAAGACCTGCAGCGGTACGTAATGATTTTCATTCGCACTGAGCTGAGCTGTGATCTGCAGTGATGTGGTGGGGATAGAATTGAGACAGGGGAGATGTCTTCTGTTCAGAAAAGTCAGAAAAGGAAAGCATGCACTTATAACCAAGAATTATTTTGAAAACATTAGTGTAAACTGTTGTTGAGTTTTGATTAATTAAACCTATTTCATTAGCAATAAAATGACACTAGGGTTATATTTTCCTATGTAATTAACTGGAGTCTTTGTTGCTGTCTTCTTTTGCCCTCTTTTCATATTTTGCTTCAGATTGCAGTAGTGGGTCAGGATCTGCTCTGGATCTCGTGTTCCTGATTGATGGCTCCAAGAGTGTGCGGCCTGAGAACTTTGAGCTGGTGAAGAAATTCATCAACCAAATTGTGGACTCGCTGGAGGTGTCAGACAAACAGGCCCAGGTTGGCCTGGTTCAGTACTCCAGCTCTGTCAGACAGGAGTTTCCACTGGGGCAGTTCAAGAACAAGAAAGACATCAAAGCAGCAGTCAAGAAAATGTCCTACATGGAGAAAGGAACAATGACAGGCCAGGCTCTGAAGTACCTCATTGACAGTTCCTTTTCTATCATCAATGGAGCTAGGCCTGGGGTCCCCAAGGTGGGCATAGTCTTCACTGATGGACGGTCACAAGATTACATCACTGATGCTGCTAAGAAAGCCAAAGACTTAGGTAAGTCTCCTGAATTTTCAGTGGTGTGTTTCTCCCTTGGACCAGGCACTGCATCTAGTATCAAGCTAGGTATGAGTCCTTCCCTGGAGATGTCTCTTACTGAGGACAGAACCAGGTTACTGCAGAGTGACTTTGTCAAGATTTTGCCTGACTATCCTTGCACACTCATAAAGGACTTGGAGCAACTCTGGCTGGGGTTCAGACGAATCTTGGTTTGCCAGCAGCTGGTTTTTGTTCCCACAGACCCTCTGTGTCTTTGATCTAAGTCTGCTGGAGGTCTCTCTGCTGGGCAGGATGGAGTTTCACACATTTGGTATGGGGTGCACACGAGTCCAGCATGCTTCACACAAATGTGAAGGAAACAGTAGGGAGAAGCTGAGGATTTGTCTGATGTTGGTAACGAAAGTCAGGTCAGCATCAGTGGCACTCATGGTGAGGCAAAGATGACCATCAGAGAGCTCACTGGAGAATAACGGGAGTTGTAGGGCCAAGTGTGGCTTGGCTGTGTCAGCCTTAAGGCCTGGAAAAGAAAAGGAAGAGATAAAACAATAAACAAAGTTGAAACACAGATTAAGGGAGTAACCATGGACTCCCTGTCCAAATCCCAGACACATCCAGACACACTAATAAGAAACTTTCTTCAGCTTCTACTGGAATATTAAAAGTGCATAGTGGCTACATATTGATAGATTTACATGTCTAAACACAGTAAAGTATAAATATCTTGAGATCTGCCCCTTTGCTGACCTGTTTTTTGCTATCTCCTGACGTCTCTGTATTAAACAGATGCAGCCCATGTGAATATGCTCATGAATTGCTAAATCCTTCACTTCCTTTTAAGTTTGATCTCGACCACTAGATGGGACTAAGGGCTAGCACATAATAATAAAGGTCAGGTACGAGCTTATGAAAAGCTGATGTTTACAAAGTAAGTTGACGTGTTATGTGGATGTTCAGCTCTTATAGAACAAAGGATCCTTATAAACTGTATCTATAGAATTTATTCCTCTGTGATGATAACACTTCATGCATTGTTTCTTCCTCCTCTCTTGTCCCTACACAGAAATCTCCAACATCTGTTCCTAAGTTATTTCAGTGGGATAAATAGCAAGATGCTTATAACTAGTTTCCAAACATGTTCATTGAGTTGAACTTTGAAAAAAACAAATATTGGATACATCCAGAGGCAGAAACATAAGGCAAAAAGGGGAGGAGGGGAAAGCATTATCAGTGTCTAGACATGGACAAGTATTTTGAAGCAGGGGTTAACCAGTATCACTGTTCAAGTCAATGGGTTTAAGCCAGAGGTGGCCAATCAGTCTCTTGGCAGTGAGGTCATAGTACCTGTACACTTTCTTAACTCACAGTATGGGCTGCTCTTGACAGGCTATATGAGTTGTAATCTTAGAAAGAGATTCAGCTACAATTTTGCTGAACCACAGGTCTCCATTGCACAGGGGATTCTGCCCCTACATAGGCTGATTAATGGTGGCTGCAGGCTATTTTGAAAACTTCCATTGTCTCATTTTGCTGTATTATCGCTTCCATATTAGTTGGATGCATGATCCTGCATATTATGATCACCTGTCCTTTCTTGTATCTCCAAAACTTTGTTCTTGTACTGATAATGAACATTGTCTAGATAATTCTAGCAAGACCTTGTCTGCAAAAATATGTTGGAACTCTGGTTGACGTGGAAAGAAGGTTGATGAAAGAAGTCTATAATAGTAGAGGGTAAGGGAGTTAATTTCCCAGTTACCATCTGCAGAGCTATGTGGAGACAGGGGGTCCAGAAGGTGATCAAGGATGTACAGACTGACAGGGGGTTTGTACCATAGCAGCAAGATGCTCTGTGGTTGTCCGACTGACAGGCTCCCATTGCTCACAGGGTTTAGGATGTTTGCTGTGGGAGTCGGCAACGCAGTCGAGGATGAACTGAGGGAAATTGCTTCAGAACCAGTAGCCGAGCACTACTTCTACACGGCTGACTTCAGGACCATCAGCAAGATCGGGAAGAAGCTACAAATGAAAATTTGCATCGGTGAGAGTCGGGGATTGAGAAGAGGGGGGATTTAGTCACAGCACTTGCAGGCTGAAAGCGGAAGGACAAAAAATGTCCTTTCAGATGGATGTTACAAAAAGTTCTCTGTTCTCAGTTGGCAGAGTACATGGAAGGATCATGAGACATCAGCATTGTGGGTGGTTAACTGAACCACAGCCACCCCTACACCTCAACCATCTTCCCCTCTCACAAATGGTCTTCTCCCTCCCTTTTTCTCCACCTTTCTTCCCTTCTCTACCTTCCTTTTCAGAAATTATGAATTCAGGCTGTACCATGTCCTAAGCATAGGCAAAAGTGACATAAGGAAAGAAGAGATGCTCTTAAAAGCGAAGCTAAGGGTTGATTCATTTGGCTTAGTTTGAGGATCATCACAAAATTGGACATCTGAGTTGAAGCTCGCTGAAGACTGCTTCTACAGTCAAACAGGCACCACAGGGGTGACATGTTTCAAGATGAAATAGGCATCTAGTAACTTCTACATGACTTGTAGGTGTCCAAATTTGGGAAACACGAATGCTAGCTTGCTCACATTTGGACAGCCTAGAGAAGCAAAGGCTGAGAGAGGACTGAGTGGGAGACAGGCATGACAAGTGGAGGTAAAGAATAACATCAAATTTAAAGAATGTTGACCTGTAAATAACCTGAGTCTAAAAATGATTAAAAAATTAACTACCACAGTTATGTTAGATCTTTGTTTTGAAGGAGTCATATGCCTCCTATGAAATATTGGCCCTTTGCAATGCATCTGCTTGATCAGGTAGATCATAGCGAATCCCAAACACTCAGGTGTCATTTAAGCCATTGAATACCTCGCAGCACTTCTGATAGCTACACGCCAGGCTCACCAGGAACCTGGCACTCACTTGTTGAGTCCGGGTCAGGCTCCTTTACTCTGCTAGGCAAATGTTTCCTTCCAGTTCCTAGCAAGACACGTCACACACAGCTCTGATAGGGCTCATTTAGATCCCAAGTGAGCTCTGCCAAGTTCAGCTCTACTTCCCATGAGGGTGTAGGCCTGCTCTTGGGTGCCCCATGGCTGCATGCAACGCAGAGATCTCCACTGCTCTCATAGCACATAGAGACGCTCTAGAGCATCAACTGGATGAAATAATGCACATTGCCAAATGTGAATCTTTTTCCCTTTCTTTGTAATTTCTAATGTTGTTGTTTGTGTCAAAACCAAGAAATACCCATGTAAATGTTAGTGGGTTAGCAGTAGGTGACACGTCTGGTTTTTTTCCCTGACTGTATATTAGCAAGAAAAAGTACTCAGGAAGTTAGGGGCCTTGCCTCAGGAAAATCAGATTTGGTTTCTTGCATCCTTACAGCTGTCCTGGGTCATGCTGGCCAAGTGACCTCTTCTCCAGAGTCCTAAAGATGGGACCTTCCTTTCCTCCTGGGGAAGTCTGAGAGGGACAACACCCTCCAGGGTGCTGTGTCTGCACAGCCTGGTAGCCAGGCTTGTAAGATAGAGACTCTCTTCGCCTTGGTTACTTTAAAAAGTAGGAGTTGATCCAAGAACAAAATAATGGGAGCTATATGAACACTCCCAACATATTGTATTTAAATATCTTTCAAGAAAGCAAATACATTTAGGCTCCAGCACTCAAAAAAAAGTAGAAATAAATTTTGGAAAAAGTATTTGTTTGCAAAAAAATTTATTTTGCTAAATATCATAACATTTGAGTTAAAAAAAAAAAAAGAAAGGGAAAGGAAATATTTGTATTTGTTTGATTTCCAGTGCCAGCTTGTATTTTTCAACAGATGGCTAGAAAATCTTCTCTTAATATCCAGCTTTAGTTTACTCATGACTGATTTAATCCTGTTGTGGTTTTGTGCAAGTGATGTCCTTTCACTTCAAAAGTCCTTCTCCTATTTACTCCTTCCATTTGCTAGGCAGTTGAGCTGACTCACTGTGGTCTTGTAAATATCTTTCTTTTCCCAGTCATCTCAGTACCCTTTTTTGTTCCTATAACAGTTTAATTTTTCTTGAAGAATATATGTAAATTATTGACATAGATTGGCAAAGTGATTAATGCACATTGTGCCGCCTGCTCAAGAAATGCGTTCTGAATCAAAGTTCAAACAAGTCTTGACTCTCAGATGGTAAACAGTGCCTCCAATTTTTATTTCACAAAATAAGAGTGTGGCCCACCATGGTGATGTTATTGGGAAGACAGAGGTTGTTTTGAGCACTGTATTTGGTCAGATTCAAATTTTGGGGACAGATTTTAAGCAACAGTAGTAGAGCTCAGTGGGTCTTCAGGCAACTGGAAATCCAGGAAAGACTTTTTGTGCACAGAGCCTGGCCTCTATAAGAAGAAAATGTGAGATTCTTTAGTCATCTGAGGTTAAAGCCAGAAGTGATCAGTGAGATAATTAGAATGAATGATATTTTTATTTCCTTCCCATTTCTGATAAAGAAAATAAGAATTGCTTTATTTCACTTGTCTCAGTGAATTTGATTTAATCCCTTTTTTTTGTGCCACTTTTAACTCATCTTCTTGATATTCTGATCCACAGAGGAAGATCCATGTGAATGTAAATCTATTGTGAAGTTCCAGACAAAAGTAGAAGACCTCATAAATTCATTGCAGCGGAAATATATCCTTCAAAAGCTGTCTTTGCTCAGAACTCAGTGGGTTGGGTTGTGTTTTCTGGAGGGACCAGTGGGGAAAGTCTACTCAAGGGGGAAGGAGGTTGGGTAGGTGTTCAGGAAGCTGGGAAACAAGACACTTGGGTTATGAATGTGTATAACAAGAAGAGTCCCTGCACCAGAGTGAATAGCTACTGGTCTGACACAGAATAAGTAGACCAAAACCAATAGAGCCAAAGTAGAATATATCAAACCATTGCAAGACAGGAATGAGCTGTAAGCACCAAGACCTAGGTCAGTTTTTAGAAAGATGCTTAAATGATGCTAATGTGACATGTGTGGATGCATGGGACACGCATGGGTGGACATTGGTACCTCTGCAAGCTGCAGGTCCTGTGAAGCAGACATGAATGTGAGGGCTGAGAGCAGCAGTGGCTAACACTGGGCTGTAAGCAGACAAAACCACTGGTGCGCATATGTAGCTGATTCACTGAGCCACTAAAGCTCCACGGATGGGATTCTTTTTCTGATGGTAACTGTCTATAGTGCAAACATCTGAGCTGGCTGCTTAGATTCCTCAACAGCACTAAGAGGGTCTTCTACAGCAAACCACCTCTGACTGTATAGTTGATGGTCTGGATAAATTCAGATGCGTAAGTCCAATAGGCAGTTGGTAGGTCCAAATTCTCCCAGCTGGCTAAAACTCCGTTCTGGGAGACTAACCTTCATGTAACTGCTCGCTGCAAACATCTCCAGTGAGGTGAGTTGGATCCCATCCGAACTGAGTTTGTGGGACTGGACTCCGCCATGCTGGGTCCTGTCATATTGCACAAAGACCATGACTAAGTGGTTGAAAGAGAAGTAAGAAAAATAAAAAAGTTGTTAATAAGATTCATAATTCTCATGGGAAGAGGAATTAGTGAAACCTTGGGGTGGCTCACACAGGGCTAGGGACTATTTTCATTACTGAGAATAAGGAGAGAATATAATTTTAAAAGCCATGTTCTGATTTACTCACACATTTCTGTGTTTTGCTCTTTCAGTTGCACGGTATATTTTCTACTCTTTAACTCAAATTGAGTGAAATCCATGACTTAGTTTATGCAAAAGGTCAGAGTAAATCAGTAGTTCTCCCCCAATGGGTTGCTGCACCCAGGCACATCATGAAAAGCAATTAGTGAAAAGAGCAGAAAAATGCGACACACTATGTAACTCTAAGAGAAGCACTCTGCTCCACTCTTTGCTCAACCCACACCGCTCAAGGTCAGGAATTCTCTGTCAACCACTCAAAACACATCCCAATTATTCTCACATTTTTTTACTCTTCCTTTCATGGTAAATGTATAGGTGCATGTGAGTATGTCTGCATGCATGAACATTTTCTACCCTCAACAAAAGTTCATCAACCTGAACAGTTCTGGAAATGCCAGAGTAGATGGTGACAACCTTCCCCTGCTCCCCGCTCCCCACAAGGCAGCTCCACTCCTTACCTCTTCTGCAAGCCAGGGGAGGACTTGAGCAACGAATCACTACCATGCACTGCCATTTTTATCCCTTAACTCTTGCTTACTGGAAGCTGTGGCAAAAAGGATCGAGGCCCTGGAGAACAAGATCATCTAAGATCCCAAAACACTATTATTTCCCTCCTTCCTAATGTACAAAACTAGAACTCCTTCACTTGTAACAGAGGGCAGCTCAGCCACAGTGCTATGGCCAGCTTGTATTTTTTTAAAGTCTAGTCTACATGCATTTGTTTAAAAGGGAAGAAGTATAACAGTAGAGCAGACATTGTATAACGGGCAGAGCACTGTGTGTGACTGAGAGCTAGATCATGCTAATGTTTGTTGCATCGTATAGAGTGGACATACTAAAAAAACTGGAACAATTTGGTTTTGATTTAAAGCTTAATATATATATGTGTTAATAAGTACTTGATTACAAGTTCTGTGAACCCTTGCTGTGTTCTTCTGCATCTTTTGTTTCTATGCATGAGATAATTTAATTTAAAAGTCAAAGTGATTTCAAATCAACTCAGATGCTGAGTGTAAAACGTCAAAGCCGCTGATCAGCTTATTATGGTAAGCATGATGCATTTGTCAGTAAGTAGGTGAAATATAGTAATGATCTCTGAGTGTGCATTGCAGACAAGATAGGATAAGATGCTGCTGCTAGTTGCGTTTATCCGTAGCTGCTGTACAATATAGAAAGGAAAAAAGCTCAGCTTTCCTAGCCAGCAAATGGTCTCACAACATCTCAGTGAATTAGCACCTGAGCTAGACCTGATCTGGGTGAGTCCTGATAACCTGCAATGAGCCAGCGGCCGTGGCTCTGTACAAGGCAAGGCAGTACTGTTAACACCAGCCCCAGGAGATGTGCCCCTGCTCCTCAGCTTTCTGGTCTCCACGTCCTCAACTGAAGCTACAAAACCTCATTCGCGCCTAAAACACAAGGAACTGCTGCTGGAGCTGCTGCCGATGGGAGCGGTGCCTTCATTACCGTGTCGACCAAAGGTTCACTAGCTCCTTCCTTACCCCACACCTCTAAGCACCTTCAAAGCCAGTAAGTTCATCTCAACACCTTCCAGACTCTTCGTCTGTTCCTGGATTCCCAGCACTGGCAAGACAAAAAAGCAAAGTGGACTGGAAGCATCCAACGCTGCCTGTCTCCTATAGCTGTAGTCTGGCTAGGCGTGGAGGGAAGAAGTCGTGTTTATTCACGGCAGGATGGCACACCATTGAATGTGAGCACAAGGGGTTGGGTTTAGAGGGGGTTTTATTTTTATTTTTTGTATCAAAATATTTATACTTGAGACTATGTGAAAAGCTTTTCAGAATAACTTGGCCTGTTCAGAAATGTCATCATAGCAGATGTGTTTTGGGTGAATATTAAAAGTTTGCTGAAAATTTTAAAAGCTAATTTAACTTATTTCTTTGCATAAGCTTTGAGGTAGTTGCCTGGCAACAATATCTCTCTATAGTCTTGTTTGTTAGGGGATAGGAAAGCCTCCATCTCATGTCACAACCTTTTATTTCAATGCAAGAGAAGAAACAAGTCCATAGAGAAACTGACACCCTTCTCTCAAAACAAAAAGCTTCTTTTACAACAAAAATCATTTATTATACTCTTGGGCTTGCAGGAATGAGTCAACATGTTTCCAAGGATTAGCTCAAAGACTACAGTCAGTTCTTGATAACAAAACCTCATCCTCTCAGTCAAATCTAGTACACCCCAGACTCCAGAGTAACCCCTACAAACTCCTGAACTTCTAGGGATAAGGTTTCTGTCATCTAATTCTACACATACAAAATCTAGACCTCTAAGATTGAGCTTTTCATGCTACATTTGTTTCTCAGTAGAAATAAATACCACAGGCCCTGCCTGTCAGGATTATCTAACGTGCATATTTTAGTGCAACAAAGCAGCACCTGAGCCTTTTTCTCTTTATAGATTATAATGACTCCTTCAGACTCATGAAACTAACTTTTAAACACCTCACCCAGGACAACCGAGTCACCTCTACTGCCATCCAAGGCATCTTTTTCCTGGTTATGTGGAAGCACTTTCCATCTTAAAGATAATATATTTATAACGGGGGAATAAAAACCCCCGCAGTAAGCAGAATAGGCTTCTGCATGCTCTGGGTCTCAACTTTTCTTTTTATCAAGAGCTATCAGCAGCTGAGCTCCTCACACAGTGAAGAATCTCACCTTGCTGTTGGGTAACATTGCGTATCAGCACAGCGTCACAGCCAATCAGTACTTAAAGGGGGCTTATAAGAAAGATGGGGACAAATCTTTTAGTAGGGCCTTTAGCAACAGGACAAGGGGTCAACATTTTAAACTAAAAGAGGCCTAGATATCAGGGAGATATCTTCCTTATATCAGCCTAGATATAAGGAAGAAATGTTTTACGCTGAGGGTGGTGAGGCACTGGCACAGGTTGCCCAGAGAGGTGGTCGATGCCCCATCCCTGGAAACATTCAAGGCCAGGTCGGATGGGGTGCTGAGCAACCTGATCTGGTTGAAGATGTCCCTGCTCATTGCAGGGGGGTTGGACTAGATGACCTTTAAAGGTCCCTTCCAACCCAAATCATTCTATGATCCTGTATTCATGCAGACAGAAGGTGTTCCAGAACAATCCAGGAGGTGGGTGTGAAAATAAGGAGGAACATATAGGGCTGTAATGGTTCATCTCCTTGAGTCAGGAATAATGGATCCATAATGGCTGTGGATGAGAAGACCTGGAGGTCCAGCAGTTGATCAAACAAGCCTATGTATCATCTTTTCACTGTTGCTTAATGAGTTGTGATACTGTCGTCTGTCTCTGTTTGAAATCAGAGTTCAAGTACAGCCCAGAAAACATGAAAGATGATGGAAATATTTAACAATTCTTGCCATGGCCCCTACTGGCTTCACTGGATAATGGACTGGGCTCAAAAATCCTTCCAGCATCATATGCCCAGGGATGAGTCAGAGGAGTTTTTTTACCATGACAAAGCCAGGAAAAGAGATAACAGCAACTCCTGGCCAGAGAAAAATCCAACTGGGCTTTGAGAAATGCAGAGAGATCCATGCAAACCACAGCTCCGGAGCTGGAAACCTCATTGCTTCTCAGACTGGTCTCAATAGGTGAGGTGGGGATGAAGCCCTGGGTGTAGCTGGGAGCCTCGTTTATTACTCTCAGAAACGAGATGAGACTCTAGCTGTGTTGAAATTGTTGTCTTGTGACACAGGGTTTCAAAGAAAACAGAACTTTTTGGCCGGTAAATTTGCTGTTTCTGTCATGTTTATGCAGCCTAGTACTCATCTGGTCCTCACAGAATACATGCTTTAATGTAACATCCAGGCTCCCTGACTTATTTCTGGACTTCTTATTCTTTACTCTGTCTTTCTCCTGTTCCATTTTTTCTATGTCTCTTCAGTCTAACAGCTGATCAGAGGCAATTCACTTCCATCTGATGATTAGAGGATTCTTTTGCTTTTTTTCTTTTCAGTTATAACTAGTTTGCTAATCATGGAAATGAAGTCCTGTAGTTAATCTTCTTAGATGCCTATTTATTCTTTAAATGCCTTGAAAGTAAAATTTAATAGTCTCAGGAACTAAAAGATGGATTTGATTTTAATTCCTGTCATGACACTCATGGAAATGTCTACATGATAAAATATTACTATTGTCATTCTGCAGTTTAAGCCACCTGCCTGACTTTTTCCGGTAATGGGATAAATTCATGTAAAGCAAGGGCTCACCTCCACAGAAAACCGCATCCATTCAGCCTACCTCGCCCATTGCCAGTTTAATCCAACAACTTCTGTAAAACTCAATGCTGTTCATACCTTTGGGGAGCAAAACAACTCCCAACCCTTTCTAGGGATGCTGATCCAGGCAGGACTATGCCTAGGGGCTAGTGACTCAAACTGGGATGTGAAGGGCTTGCTCCTTCAAACCTCTGCAAGCCACCCTGAAGAAGGACCTAGGAGACATGATGTCTTCCTAAATCACCAAGTTCCTTGTTTCAGAGCAATATTTCTGGATGCTACAAAGAAATGCCCCTACATGCAGACATAGCAGCTCTTGTTTTCAGTTTTTATAGGGAGCATACCATAATATCTGTCTTTCCCCAGCTATCTCTCCTAGAGTTTATCTGTCTGTCCATCCATCCCTTCATCCCATCAAATCAGTCAAGCAGCAATCTTCTTGTTTCTCTATCTGAAGGTCCTTACTGATGGAAAACCTTGATCCAAGCCAACCTTTTGGCATCACCAGCCCTACTTCACACAGCAAAATCTTCTACGAGGAGCACAACATAGGAGTGCGACATGAATAGTTTGCAGGTGTAAACAGAGAAGAACGCTTTCCCAGTGCTGTGCAACGGCAGGAGAGCCAAGATCTATTACCAGGCATAGAATTGCTTCTGTAACTAATATTTTGTTTTGTGTTACAGATAAAGCAGAACTAAACTAATTAACAATTATTTTTCCTCCCTTCTCACTTCTCCTGGCTTAAAACAACAAAAGAGCTCTTGCGTCTCCAAAGTCAATTAGTCACTGGGCTAGAACATAGGCTTTTGACATTGTAATTAGACTTCATTAATGGATCGCCAACGGCAGCAAGATGGAAACCTACTAGATGAGCTTCTCTTTGCATTTTCTTTCAGCTAATTACATGCTTATCTTGGAAACAAAAGATGTTGCACACAATGAAGGAAAGCATTTGTATGTCCCAAATTGCGGAGCAATGGGCTTATAGTGAAAGCCTTCTCGCTGCAGGTTGTGAAATCATCCTTCTGCAGACAGGGAACTTCTTTTCCCTCTCTCTGCTGCTACATCCTACTTATGACCAGTCCTTCTCTCCACGTTGCCACCAAGTCCCAAGTTCCTTTAGATCTTCTGGCAAAATAATTTATAAAATTATGTCCTTTGGGTATAGAAAAAAAATCCTTGACCGCTTTTGTCCTTACCTTCCCTTGGGTGCTGAGCGTGTCATTGAAAGGCTGGGGCTTTCACCGCTCCCAAAGGCAGGAGAAAAGCTTTGTCTTCCGGCAGAGCTCTTTTGCCAACAAGATCCCTCTGGGGAAGCAATTTTCTCATGCAGGTCACTGATATTATAACACAGGACCATTAGTAATAAAATAAAAAAGTGCTTTCAATTAAACTGAGGGCTTCTAGCTTGGTAACATCTTTCAATAGCAATTTGTAACACTAATACAGTGTAATTGCTGCTAATGAATGGGTAGGTAGCAGACCAGTTAATTATTATGATTTTTCTCCAAGCAACATCAGGCAGTGAAACCTGTCTCAGGCTGTATGAATTTACTGTTCCTTGTGAAAAGCAGCACGCTTCCTCGCTCTTAGTCCTCTGAGGTAATTC